CTAGCCGTTTTGGGGCTCCGACCCGGACGGGTGCGGAGCAAGGCTGCCCTGCAGGGGTAGCTGAAGGTAAGGGGGATCCGGAGGAAGGGTTTGGGGGTGTTGCGGACCCCCTCCCTGGCCGGCAGAACCCCCTTTTACCAGGACGGTGCAGCGGCGGTCCGCAATGGCCGCCACAAAGAAGTTGACAGCCGGGCAAGTATGCGCAGGAGGAAGAAGAGAAAGTTATTGAAAGTGAAAGTTCTTCTTGGTCGACCCAGGGCTTTGAGATTTATCTAATTTAATTCCTGGAAAAGATGGTTTTCTGATGATTTCTTCCACAAGAGAAAAAAAAAAGCGGCTATTTTGAGGTGCTGAAGGGAAAGTTTACTCTCCCTCCCGACGGAATTAAGCCGGAAGGGAGAGGATAAAGAAAATATATAAATTTGGATCTTGTTGGAGGAGATGCCTTGAAGACTTGAGGACAGAAATATAATCTTAATAAGGCTTTAAAATATAGATTTGGACTCCTTTTTTTTTATTTGTTTGATATCACCCCTGGAAGAGGAAGGGGGAATTTTGGCTTGCTTGGATTTATTGAGGATTGTGGATTTTGGGATTGTTTTGCCTTTCTCTCGGAATATTTGGTTGGTGTAAGAAGAAAGAGGAATAAAGAAAAGAAAAGATTTATTTATAATGGCTTTCCTTTTTGAAGACCTGAGGGATGAATATGAGCAAACAAAAGCAGCCTGCAAAGATGGCATGGAAAAAGCTTTTTTATTTCTAGAAATGGCGCTGGTCAATTACCAACAGACAATGGAACAGATGGAAATGGAAGAAGAACAACAAGGAAGAGACGAAGACGCCATCTTCATTGAATCCCAAAACTTATCTAAGGAAGAAGGAAGGAAGAGAGCAAGGAAAATGAAGGACTTAAGATCTAAAAAAACATTTGAGAAAGAGAAAAATATGATGCAAAGTAAATATAATGATAACAAACAAGAGAAAAAGGGAACACAACAGAGAAGGGATCCCAGCAAGGCAGAGGTTAGAAGAAGAAGGGGGGGTAGGAAGATTTGGTGGGGGAAGAAAGAAAGGGGAAAGGCGGAGAAAAGCCTCAAAGCTTTAAAATTGGATGGGAGAAGAGGGATTTTTTTTAGAGACAAAGGATGAAATATAAATTTCTGTAAGAAAGATTCTGCTAAGGTACAGAAGATGGTATTGTAACATTTATATTTGAAATAGTAAATTAGAATGGTTTAAGATTTAATAAGAAATTAAAATGTTGAAGTTTTTAATAATGATTGATTTTTAAAATGTAATAAAATATCGAAGGAAAGGAGGATACAATGTATTTAAACATTTTTGGTGGATAGAATGTACCAAGCAGAACCAAATTGGGTATTTGTTATGTTGAATGTTAATTTTACTAACTTAGGGGGAGGATAGAAAGGCATCATACTCTGATTAGTGATTTCAGGAGAAATTCTTTTTATTATAAGAAGAGATAGAGGGATAATGAATGGGCAAAAGATACAAATTTAATGATTTAATTAAGATGGATTAAATAAGATAGAATTGTGAAGAGTGATATGCGCTATTATTTTAGCCCATGCAAAGAGAGGTAACTGGGGCCAAGGTACTTTACTAAAAGATTTTTTTTATGTTTGTTTGTGTTTGTTTGTGTTTTATGAGAATATTGGGGAAATTATTGTAGAAAGACAGGGAAAGATTTAATATGTAATGATTTGTTTGTTGTTGAAACTTTTAATAAAACTTGTTTTTTTAAAAAAAAAAAAAGAATTTGCAAAAAAAATGGGCTTTATTGCGAGATGACACGGGTAGACAAATTTGGCCTGATAGCGGTACTTTAGATTATAAAACCCTGAAAGCACTTAGAACATGCATTAAGCCCAGCCAAATACCCTATTGGTACTGCTGGGCTGAAATTGTTAGGAGCAAAGACCTGACCGAGAGAAAAATAATAATAATAAGGAAAAGCCTGAAACCCATTTCAGGGAAGGGAATACTGAGGCACGGATTATGGCTCCCCTTTTAAGCAAGCCAGTGCCAGGCAGAAATAGGGGACAACTAGAATGTGTTTTTACCCACACTCCCTTCTCTGCCACTGACCTAGTCATCTGAAAAAAGGATACCCCAGCTTTCAGGGCTGATCCTCAAACAGTTATTAAAACCCTGAAATCTATCATAGACAGCCATAATCCATCCTGGGGTGACATGACTCAGCTGTTACAAGTCTTTCTAAGGAAAGACGAACTATTAAAATTGTTTGGAAAAAAAAAAACAGCTCAAATAGCCAAACTACCAACTATCCCTGGTCAGGCAGCCCCAGCCCACATCGCATGGCCAGTACATCACCCTGACCAGGACTATAATGATACCAATCAATGGGATGAATACACTAGAGCAAAAGATAATTTACTAGAAGCTCTAGAGGAAATAAGAAAAAAAGAAAAAAAAACCTTTAAACTAGTCTGAATTTAAAAACAACAACAACAACAACAACAACAACAACAACAACAACAACAACAACACAAAGGGAAAAGGAAAACCCTGATGCCTTTTGGGTCCGCCTGACAGAAGCAGCTATTACATATGCCCACCTAGACCTTAGCTGTCTGAAGGACCAATGGATTTTAGCTTCAGCCTTCGTGGATCAGTCCACCTTAGATATTAAAGAACATTTCCACCGTTTTGTCTCTAACTGGCCAACCTTAGACATAGCAGAGTTGCGCAGGATTGCTAACTTTGTCTATGATCAAAGAGACAAGCTGAAAGAGGAAGAGAAAGATAGAGACGAATAGAAAGACAGGAAGACTTAAAAATGTTTGCTATAATGAAACATGATGCCAGACAAACGCCAGGTAAAACCCCCTATAATTCAAAGAAATGCTGGCATTGCAATAAAGCAGGATGGTCGCAAGGCAAATGTCAGCATTGTTATAGGTGCAGACAGGAAGGTCATTTCAGCAGGCAATGCAGGCAACACCCCGCCCTCCTGCAACTGGTATCACCCACCACCTAGGAACATGAGGCCAGGCAATAATCCAGTCCATTACACTGAGCAACAAAGTTTCAGGCACCAGGCACCACCCAGCGCTCCCTTTCCTCCAATAAATAATAACAATAGACATCAATGGGAGCAAAGAAGAGAACATGATTTACCCCTTTCTTGACTAGAGCATGACAATGAAAGCACTGAATTCATGGCTACCTTTAATGGGCTGGCTATCCCCCTAGAAAATGGCCCAGAAGGGGAACCCACTGTCACCATTCTTATAGGAGGAAAGAAATACAATTGCTTGGTTGATACTGGAGCCACCTCCTCATTAATTACTGAACCACCATATAAAGCTTCAGTGGCTGAAGGGGCTCAGGATAGCATAATGGGGGGTGGGGGAGAAATAATCCCTGTAAAATTTACCCACAACGTACCAGTAGAACTAGGACCTTTCACAGTAGACCATGCATTTACTATTTGCCCCCAGTCCCCACTGTCTCTACTAGGAAGGGATCTCCTATGTAAAATGGGAGCTACCATAACATGTGGCAAACAGGGGCTGCAATTGGAAATCCCAGGAAAAGGCACACACAAGACAATCATGCTGATAACCAGCAACACAGGGCTTCATGAAGATTTTAAAAAGCCTGCCACCCTCCTTATGGGGCTGGGATGCATCAGAAGTGGGACTACTTAAAGGAGCCATGGAGAGAGCAAACAAAGAGGTGAAGACCCTACTGGGCAAACTCTGTCAGGAGACACACCTCTCCTGGCCACAAGTGCTCCCAATTGCCCTCTTTTATATCAGAACCAGACCAAGACAAGACATAGGTATTTTCCCCCTTTGAGATCCTTTTTGGTCACCCCTCCATACCCTACAAAGCCTAGATCCTCATTCCCTTTGCTTAGATAGGGGGGATAGGGTTCTCTCTTCTTATCTTACAGCCCTGCAAAAGAGACTACAGGCCCTCTGGACCCAGAGTGCGCTGACACAGACCTTACCCCTGGAAGAAGCCCTGCATCCATATGAGCCAGGAGATTGGGTGTGGATCAAGCTCTTCACCAGAACCTCCCCTCTACAACCCAAGTGGAAAGGACCCTACCAAGTTTTACTGACCACACACACCGCCATAAAGGTTGCAGAACGAGACTCTTGGCTACATTGGACACATGCAAAGCCAGCAGTCATAGACCATAGCCAAACTCCACCACAATCAATCCCACTCATGAAACTCAAGAAAGATTGGGACACAGATCAATGGACGCTTGCAGCATTCTTCAACACCGTTGAACCACACCACTGTGAGGAACCAAGTGCAAACATTGCATTACACAAAACTGGACTCCTGGGTGCTGAGTTATAAACTATTTTTTTATTTTTTTCTCTCACCTTCTCCATTTTTCCTTTTTTTAAACCTTTTTTCATCTTATTTTTTTAACAAAAAGGACTTTAACCATACCTTTCTCATAATTTTTTGATACTTGACCTTTTACATTTTTTTACATTGCTATTAAAAAAAAAAGGAGGTGGGGGAGGAAGGGAAGAAAAGGAATCTAGCAATGGGGAACATGAAATGCAATATATACTATGTATTATTATCTGTAACAATTGTAACATTTGTAACACAAACAACTGCGTTCCTGGAACCAAAGCTTATCCCAGAGAAAGGAAACATATGGGAATATTTAGCAAGAGAAATACTCAACACCACTAACTTTTGCTTAGCAGGAGGGAAATCATAATGTCACTGGGTGCAGCTCACCTAGGGTCACAGAATGCACCAGTCTTAGCAACACAGAACTAAAATACAATTATACAGAGACCATATCATTTTCATATAGTTACCTGAAGTCCCCACCAGGATGGTTTTTCCTTTGTGGCTTAAAAGCCTACTCATACCTTCCTGCAAATGCCTCAAATGGTCCCTGCACCTTGGGAAGGTTAACCATGCTTATGCCATCCTTACAGAGACGACACAGGAGAGCCTTCCAAACCCTAGACTCAGACTGTGATTCCAAAGTCTCCCTTCCCACAAAAAACAGAATACATCTCATTGGCAATATCCCTGGTAGGGGTACCTGGATTGGCAGTGCGAAATTCTAAAAATTTGAATAGACTAGCATGTACCCTGGAAAAAAAGCTTGAATTCGACCTCCCATGCCCTGGATGCCCTTAACAGAGAACTGAGGGAGGTCAGAGAAGCCACTCTGGAGAATAGGGCAGCAATAGACTTCCTTCTCTTGAAGCATAACTATGGCTGCGAAACATTCAAAGGGATGTGTTGTTTCAATCTGAACGAAACCTCAGAACTCGTAGGGAGGGACATCCACCACCTGAAAGAGCTATCTCAGAATATTGGTCAGGAGCAATCATTCCTGGACTTTTCATGGCTCTTCTCATGGATGCCAGATTTCCATTGGCTCAAAATCCTTATAACAACCACAGTCACCATTTGTGTCTTTGAAGCCCTCATGTGTTGCCTCTGTAGATGCATACCACCCTGCCTTAGCTGCCTAAAGGCCTGTATTCCCTCTCAGAAGAGAAAATTAAAGGGGTGACAGGCAGCCATGATAATGATCCAGATTGGTCACAATACCAAGTATACCCAGACATTCAATCAGAGACCACCCTCTAAAAAAAAAACCATGAAGGATTGTGGAAAGGGAACTTCATGAGGACAGTGGTGACACCCAAGCAGGAGAAGCCCAAAGGGAACATCAGGCCAGCCATAAAACAAACTTGCATAGGAAAAGAGACTTAATAAAAGGTATTAAAGAAGCCCCTTAGACAAAAGCCCAAATAATTAAGAAAACTAAGGAAACAAGAAAAGAAAACCCTTACAAACACAAGACATGCCAAATCAGCTAAACAAACAGACAAAAGACACAAAATATATTGCAAAGGAGACAGACAGGAGATTGCCACAAGTTTACCCTCCGGGCGGAAATGAAGACAACCCCTGACAAGATTTAAAACATTAAGAAATACAAACACAAGCACATACACACAAAATGAGAAAAAGGTATAAAAATCAGGGTTTTTATTATACAAAGCGAGCTAGCTCCAAGAATGCAGACTTCTTGCTATCTCTCGCCTTCCTGAAAAATAAAAAGAACCGGCTTCCAAGTAGTTGTCTGAATCCTTGCACTGGAGTTCTCCCAGCAGGAAAACCGAACCCTCAGAAGAAAGGCATTTTCCAGCCTTTCAACAGTACATCCAGGGCCTCTATCCCAGACACTCTTCTCAGATACACCTAAAATATTGGATCCAATTGTGTGGTGATCCCATCTTAGGAAGGATATTGGCCAACAATCAGGGGTTGAACTCAAAGACCTTGAACGTCCCTTCCAATGTTGTGATTCTGTAATGATTTTAGGAGACTGGAGTCAGTTCAATAAACAAGATGACAAGCAGCCTTATAACATCCACTTAACATGGAAAAGCAGAGCCTGTGGGGAGAGGTGACAGCTGCCTTCAAGCATCTTAAAAATGAATCAGGTTGAATTGAGGCAGCAGGGTTTGGGGATGGGGGGAATATTTTTTAAAAAATTGAGATGACAGCCATGGTCCCTAATGAAGCAAAATTCTTCATAGTTGCAAATCAAGAAACAATTGACTTAAATCAATATTTCTCCATCTCAGTAACTTCAAAATGTATGGCCTTCAGATCCCAGAATTCTCCAAGCTGGATGGGGAATTCTGGGAACTGAAGTCTATAAAATATAAAATATTTATAAAATCTATTGGCCACTCATCTTACCTCAGGATAACTCTGAGCAGCTTGCAATCTATCTTTAAAATTGTTAAGGTTCAGAAACACCAAGTCGAATGATAATACAAAAAGAAGATTTAAATGGAATTCCTAGCCACTGTTGGAAGAAATATCCTTCTGTGTTCAGTTCCAAGTGGGGAAAAGATACTGGAAACACAGAGGCTGTTTGGAAAGATGGTTTAATGATGGACAGGATTACATGCCTTGGAGCTCCTGAGTGAAAAGGGGAGAGATGCTGAGAGTCCCTGGGTTTTATGCCCTCTGTTGGGATTTGAATTTGAGCTTGTATTCTGATTGGTTGTCAGACTCCCATGGGGCCATGCAGGGACGACTCTGTAGGCTGTCCTGAGCCCCAAGCTTGGTTGAGCCTTGCTGGATGATGATGTAATGAAAGGGTTTTGGGATTCCTATTATGGGTCTGCCTAAAGGAGGTAGACCTTTGTTATGTAGAGTAGACTTGGCCCAGGCCTTAATGGCCCATTAACAAAGGTGGGGGGGGGCTGAGTTTCTGCCTCTCTGAGTTTCTACTTCTCTTTTAAGGGAAATATTCTGCCTTTTTAGTATAGCCTAAAATATTTCATTTTCCTAGGAGAGGGGTGGGTTTTAACTTCCAACACCACAAAGAGCCATTCTACAATGGAACAGAAAGCTTGGTAGAATGTCTTTTGCTGGATGTATTTAAACCCAAGGGGTATCCATTCTTGAAATTTTCAGATGTGTGGACAAGGCTGGTTGGGGAATTCTGGGAGTTGAAGTCCACAGGTCTGAAAGTTGCCAAGATTTGACACCGCTGTTTAAACAAAGATTGGATGGTTATCTGTTGGAAATGCTGTTGCAGTAGATTCCTGTAAGCAGTAGATTCCTGTAAGGGAGAAAGACTACATGATCTCTTTGTACATGTACATATAGAATCTTTATACACGTACATATAAAATTTCTCATCACATATCTCATGAAACATAGAATCATATTCTATGCCAACAAGGTGGAGATAAAATGGAAGAATGAATGATGTCAAAGAAAGAGAGAGAAAACAAAGAGAGAGAATTATAATGGAGTTTGCACTTGGAATAGCTTGGATAATGACCATAGATAACATGCAAACATTCCTGTTTGCAGGCGAATAGTCATACCAGCCCTTTGCAAGGAAAACAACTAAAACTTCTGTGGCCTCTCAGAGATCAGTGTTTCTCAAATCCCAGCAACTTTAAGATGAATAGACTTCAACTCCCAGAATTCCCCAGTCACCCCTTCTCATTTTAAAGTTGCTAAGGTTGAGAAACACTGCCTGAAACTGATCAATCAAATAAATGAAGCAAGGAGGTTGAGAAAAGGGCCAAATGTTATGATCTGAAAAACAGCCTACAGTTCTGGGACCCTGACAAACGTAGTAAATAGTTGCCATTGGTCACAAGGTCAAGGATAAAGAGAAGTGGATAAACAGCTGCATTTAGGCCCCATCCAAGCACTCAGTGGTTCTAGCTCAATTATAGCCTAAAGATTCAGTAAAGAGGAGACTTCAAGTAAAGATAAAAGCATGCATTTTTTTTTTCACTTAACATGTATTTAACTTGAATTGATACTAAGGTTTAAGCATAGTAAAAGAAAATGGTAAACATTTGCCAAGAACAGATTCAGGGATTGTTGTCCAGACTTATCAAATAACAAAACACAAAATATTTCCCCCCTTTGAATGTCATTTCAATAATGGAAAATGTGCTTAGAAATTCCGTTCACATCCTCATCTTCTCCACAATATACTGTTTTTGTTTTATTTTATTTTTAAAATATAAACAAATGATTTTGTTTGTTTCTACTCACAAGCTTCCCATCTGTTTGTGAAATATTTTTGGAATGACAATCAAAACCCTGCAGTTGAAAGACAAGCTTCTGATTGCCTGTTATTAAGATGTATTGCCTTTTTCTTTGACAAGTGCAGGGTTGTTGGGGTTTTTTTGCACAAAGCTGGTGAAACTAATTTTCCTCAGAGTTACACCTGACCTCAATCCCAGCTCTCTTTATGGGAGATACCAGGTTGATGTCCCCCAAATGAACTTTTTCCCTCTGAAAAGCTTCCTGTATAGACTTAAGCAGCAAGGCAGGTATTTTGGGAGTAAGGAAAGTATAATGACACACTGTTGTCAGTTTTACTGCAGGCCTGAGACTTGTTTTATGATAAAGGGAGGAGATTTGACAAAAGAATGTTTTTGTTCCTGAGAGGTCATGAAATGGATGATGTTGCTGGAATGACTGGAATGAGAGAAGCCACTGGAGTTCCCTGGCCTTCTAGCTTAGAACAAAAGGCAATTATGTGCCTGTATTTGAAGTGTGTATGAGAGAGAGAAAGAAACACAATCTCCAGATGTGCCTACAACTCTACAATTGCTTTCATTCCTAGCAAGTTTTAAGTACCACCCGATTCCCAACTTTGAAAGGTCACAATACATTGAACAATAAAAACACAATGCAAAACAAAAGATAGGATCTGTACATGTACAAAAACAGCGAGAGGCTCCATCTACCCTAACCTAAAACCCAAGAATAAAACCAGAGATTATAGAGAACATAGTCCAACTAATTTGAAGAAGTTCAGATTGAGGAGGTGAGTCACTGCAAAGAAGCAATGGTGAAACTGAACAGAACACAGTCAAAATCCACGATGAAAATGTACAATTACAGAAGTTTTTCTCCCTGGGGCGAAGGACAAATGCATTTCTTACATTTTTCTTTTGATTTGTCTTTTACTCTATTAATAAAAATTAATTATTTTTCAAAAAGAAAGTTGCTATTTGAAAATAAAGAGTGTACAGCATGCGGGGGCCTTCTGTTCTTTAAGAGAAGCCAAATTCTGCTGCCATTCAAACTAGATTTTCTTGCTTTTCCAAACAGAAGCCCCAGAGCAAATCCACAAAGCAGATCCTTTGGGCCATTTGCCACCTCCACACGCCATCTAGTGGCCAGTGACGGAAAGGCTGTCGAGGACCATTCCTTTTGGCAGCGAACCAATGAGAGATGCCGTGGGGAGGGCAGAGAGAGACCCTGATTTGAAAGGTTTAAAAGCTTTCCGCTGGGGCAGCTCTAGGCACTAATCCTGGTGGGGGATCCTTTGTGCAGCCAAGCTGGCCCTTACTCAAGAAGACCTTGGCAGAGGCAGCTTTTCCTTTTCCCAGAGTCCCAGGAACAGGAGGGTAAATGTTTCTCAAAAAAATGTGTTTCTTTCAGTTAATAACATCAACCACA